ATTCTCATAAAGGAAGTTCCTGTAATTTTCCTTACTTTTCACATTCCAGCCTTATCATATACAGCATAATTTACTCCCGAACAACACAGTTGGAAAAGTCGTTGGCAAGGAGTCTTTAAGATTCAATTCCCATTATTTTACCAAGACTATATTAAGCCTACATGAAGCAATCAAATTAAAGGAAGATCCGTGTCAACGACTTAACCATTTGTGTCACTCGGACTGTAATTCATGCAGAGAATCAAATTAGTTTCTCAAAATAGAACATGAAATTTACAGGTCTAATTTACATACTTACTAGGAAATCAATATGCAAAAGAAAATTTAATTTGCATAAAGATAATCAAGCTATCGCTAGTAACAAAAAGCGTGCCTCCGAAAATCAACAATAAAGTTAAACAGCGAGAATCTAAACAAAGGAGCAACAACAAGAATGTAAAGTGAAACATTTCCATTTAGTTCCTGCTGTGAGAACATCCACAATTTATCAGTGCGGAATATTTTAGAAAATAGCTCGTGTTTTCGGGTTCTAAAGTATTTATCAAGAAGTTTTGAATTTTTCGTCTTGAAAATTTACCAAACTGAGGATAACAGGCTGTCGCAGATCACAGAGACTTGGCAGAAGGTTGCATGCTATCCCTAAGTCCAACAATATAGTTCTCAACTTCCAAAGCTAATCCCAATCTACTGTGCAATCTTAATTAATTTAAATCAAAATGAAATTCGATCAAAAAATCGCCCATATACCTCACAACATCAACAGCTGATTACAACAATGATTTATAAAGCAAGTACGATCGATACTGTAACCCAAATATTCGTCAATAGATTTAAGTAACTTATGCAATGAAATGCTCTTTACAAATCACTTTTCTATTCACAAAATCTTTTTCTTTCAATTAACGTCTTAGCAAGACTAAGTCTTAATTCATTATTACTTTTATTATGATGGGGCATGAACCCATATGCTGCTTTTTTGATTACCGAGGGAGCTAATTTTCTATGCATTTTTTGAAATTAATGATTTTCGAGTTTGGTCATTTTTTTACATACATACATACATACATACATCGCTGGCTTTACAGATCAATTGTGATCCATAGCCTCCCCATTTTTTTACAGAGATGGGAAATTTGGATTAAGTGCTGTTGTATGATTACTATTGAGTGCTCTGATTATACTGAGCCATTTGGATAATCACGGATTCTTTGACTCCTTCATGAACTGTAGCCCCGAGCTTTAATCCCCTAACCTTGACTAGCTTCAGTTGAAACTATAAATATAAAATATTTTATATAAAAATTCATTAAACGTTCAGCATGAAGCACTTCCAAAAAAACCCCCAACAAAACGACCAACTCATCAACATTTTCATCATCTCATTTTCACAAACTTAATATCAAGCGTGTAGTCAACAAGAAATGAGCCAAACCGTAAAAATCGAAAACGAATTACTTTTTGTATCAAAAAAACTTTTTTATATCCATCCATGAACCTCAAAAAAAAAGTTGCCTCATCACTTACAAATTTCATACACATGTGAAAGAGACGACTGCGCCTCATCATTTCGTGTAAAGTCGTATCTTCTCCGTAGCAAATTTATTATTGTTAATTGATGGTACTGGCAATCATCTAACAATATTAATTATCGCTCTCGATCAGCTATTACTAACCTTACATGTCTACCACAATATTATGTCCATCTACACAACATGAACCCAAAATATTTGTTTGCATGATGAATCAATTTTGGATGAGTCGATGGACATTATTTTTTAAATATTAATGAATTTTTATAGCTTTTAAAAATAGCGATAATCGTCGGAGTTTGTCTGCCTGCGCATTTGTTTATAAATTGGCAATATTTTCACAGTTATCGACATTAAGGTGACGTGCATCTCATATCAGCATTAAAAGCCAATTGGATTAGCATTTTCAAGCAATATCAATAAGATAGTGGCATCGAAGCTATAAAAAATTTTGCGTTGTCGCCAAAATTGCCAAATTTGAGTCCATTTATGTGCAGTTAAAGCCACGGAACTCCAAAAAAAATGTATTCTATAATTAAATTTCCTAACGCAATCAAATGTTGCGATTGCATAAATGTCACATTTTGTCACATCATTCATAATTGTCACAAAAATTTGGCAGAAAATTAGCGAAGTCAATGGACTAGCCGATAAAAGACTTAGACAAAAGCTTTCCTAATTAGTATCTCGATAATTGGGGGTTTTAGCTTGAAATGTATATCGGATATCTGTGGATAAACTTGAGGAGATGTCAACAAAATCTTATGAAATACTTTGAGTGTTATGTATAGCGAATTGAATTTGTAATCGTAAAAAAATTATGGTGATTATTCATGACTTTAATTGAGAATGAAATTAGGTGAAAAAACAGAAAAATGATTTGAGGTTGGTCATGTTTGGAATGTGATTTGTAATTTTTTTTAGTTGATTGAAATATTTTTGGGGATAAACTAGAGTTATGAAGACTTTTTTATGCTGGAATCTCAAGTTTAGGATGTAGTGATTTACGTAGGTGATTTTGTCAATTAAAAGAGAGATAATTTCAATGGGCAAGTGGTTATTTAACAAATCGGAAGTCTTCTACCTTCTCTTATATATGAAAATATGAATGACGTGGGTTCAATTCCTACCAGAGACTGAAATTTCGTTTCCTTGATTTTACAGTCGATCTAATAACTTTTCGTAAATTTTGTTGGGTAGCATCCTTTATAGGAGCTATTAAAAGATTTTTAAAGAATTATCAACTGATTCTCAATCTAGATCTCAATAATTCTATAGAACATCGACTGAATCAAGACTTCTTGGTACTGAAAAAGAAAGATTTCGAGCAAAAAATCCTATAAGAAGATAACTCAAGACCTTTCTGCTCATATTTCCACCACAAAATTCAATCTTTTAAAAAATCTCAGCATTGCCTCTGAAAAGGCCCTTTGAATGGCGCTTAAACTCTCAATCAACCTTTGCCGCTATCCACTTTCCAACTCAATGAATTTTGACATAAAACATTTATTGAATAATTTAATATTTTGACTCGCTTCCACAAAAAAAATACATTTTATGTCTATTATTTCATATTTCGTGAATGTACATAAAACTGTCTGACAATGAACTATTAAATAGTCATACATATCATGCTATTGAGATGTTTCTCTTCTGCTAATTTGATGATAATCGAATGAAAGAAAAAAGAAATAATAAAATGAAAAGAAAAATCCATTACTGGATGTTATGCATTCACTGTACCGCATTTCATTTTCATTTTCATACGAAGAAGAAGCATGCTTTGGATTATGAGGTAATAACATCACAGTACTTTACACATTGTACCGTTATCGATGCTTTCGACTTGAATTCTTGCGAATCTATAAAAATGAATGGATTTTTGCAGCTTCAAAGGCTTATTTGTTGTGCCATAAAGTATGAGCATTTGAGATTTTTTATCATGATATGATCAGATGTGACAGTAGATAGTCCACCCCTCCCCATTAATAAAGCTTTATTACTCTGAGCAAACTTAACATTTTTTGCATTACCAAAAAAAATAAAATCTCTTCCAGACACAACAAAGGCCCAAATACATCATTAAACAACAACAATGTGTTTGGTTGATGGATATGAATGTGGAACTTCTATGCTGGACGTAGATAATTAATAAAAATTGTCAAAAAATAAAAGTTGCTTAATTGTGGTTTTTAATTTTTATTTTGGTATTTGAAAAGCATGAATGTAATGAAAAAATCGTAAGCCCTCCTAATCAGGTCCATGCATTATTCCTACAACTCTTATTATAACCAGTTAAGTAAAAGTATGAGGATTGATTTTCAAAACGAAATTACAAAAATTTGACCACCCCCCCCCCTCCCTTCTTTCTTAACCACAGTGGTGGTCTCCTTTAAATTCTAAGTGACCTTAAGAATAAGATTTTCGGATTTTTAAGGTCTCAGTCAGCCCCTCCCACCCAATGATATGCCACTGAAAGCATTCCAATACAAACAGCTCCCGATTACGTTGCTTTCTGTCCCAGTTCCATCAATTAAAAATTCACCAACCTCATCTTGTCAAAATTCACCGTTCACCATCTCAAAGATGATTGATAACTGATCAATAAATATTTTTAAACCACTTAGCAATTCAAGAAAGCATATCTGTCATCATAGCTGACTGCCTCACAACTAAAATAGATTGCAGCCGTACAGAAAGTTTTTATTTGATGCGTAATAAAGTTCACTTTATAGATTTTAGTGGGGTACACAGAAAAAAAAAATATCAAGAAGCCAGGCAAGCTGCAGAGAGAATTTCCAAAGTTTCAATTATGGATTTGAAAAATCATTCCCAAAGGCTAATGCAATTACGTTTATGACCTTACACAACTTTCACAAATAATCGCATCGTCGACAGCTTAATTGAATCTAAATTCAGAAGCATCAGCGAATCTATGGTAACTTCCGCGCTCTAGCATGGAAGTAAATGAATGGTGTATGATAGAATGATGAAACTTTTATTTTTCATGAAGAAAAAGGTGTACATGCAGCAGCAGCAACAATAACTGTTTTTATTTCTCTCACAATATATCGCAAGCGAGTCAAGCCCCGAAAGAAGAAGTCAAACTTGTCTTTGTATTGTTAATCTCAACGTGGTAAAGGTAAAAAGAAGAAGACCATTACAACAATCTTATGCTCACCGCACGTTGTTGCTCGCTCGTTGCTGCTGCTGATGATGATGATCGAAGAGTAAGTATTTGTGACTGTCCACATACATTCATAAAGTTTGCTGTTTTTTGCTTCTCTCTCTCTTCGCCCGCCAAGTGAATGTTTTTATTTTTCTTTCATTTCGATGCTGTTTTATTTCATTTCTTTCGCAGTTTTAGCATCCCATCCTATATTCACCATTTACTATATAAATTGAAAATTTTGTTGAAAATAAGCATCAGTTACATTTGTTCTTTCATCGGACACAGCTTAGTAGTTTAACAAAAAAATAATAATTTCAAAAAATTTATTAATAATGAGAGCTTTTGTATTACTTTCGTGCTGTTTGGCATTTGCTGCTGCTCGTCCTGAGCCTCCAAGTGGATATAACTATAACCGTCCAAGTGGTGGTCATGGTGGTTCATCAAGTGGTGGACATGGTGGTTCATCTGGATTCGGTTCATCTGGATCTGGATTCAGTGGTAGTTTCGGAGGTGGCTCAGGATTTGGAGGTGGATCAGGATTCAGTGGATCATCTGGATTTGGATCATCAGCTGCTGGATTTGGTGCATCAGGTGCTGGATTCGGTGGTTCAGGAGGTGTGTTATTGTGAAGAAAAATAAATTTTATGTGCGAAAAAAAATCAAGGAACTTAAAAAAAGTTGTTTAATGTGTGAAAAAAAAGATGAGATTATAAAATCAAATTAAGTTCCGAAAGTAAATTAGACATGAAAAACAAAAATAAATTAAAGAAGTGAATGAAAAAAATAAGAAATATTACGGATGAAGTGATAATTAAGTAACAGCATCCAGTCACTTTACTTCATATTTTTCTCCTCTCTTACATTTTTGATGGATTAGCGGAAAGTTAATTATAAAGTCACAACGACCGAAAAATAATATAATATTGTATACAATTTTTGTGTACACATGTACAGCACAAAAAGTGAAAATTACTTTCATTTCGTAGGATTAAAATGCAAAAAAAAATTGTGGAAGAAAAAAAAATCATGTTTTATATAACAAGCAACAAGTCGCATCATGAAATAATTAAATTAAATTAAAATGTTAACGAAATTAATCATTTTTCCAAATTTACAGCTGGATTCGGTGGACAATCAAACGTTGGTGCTATTGTACAGAAGCACATGTAAGTACTCTCAATATCCTTTCAATAAATCCTCAATTCTAATATAAATTTTCATCTCCTATAGCTATGTCCATGTTCCACCACCAGAGCAAGAAGAACTCCGTCCACAACGTGTCATCCCAGTTGCCCCAGCTCAAAAGCACTACAAGATTATCTTCATTAAGGCTCCATCTCCACCAGCATACCAAGCACCAATCATCCCAGTCCAACCACAAAACGAAGAAAAAACTCTTGTCTACGTCTTGGTCAAGAAACCAGAAGAACAACAAGACATTGTCATCCCAACACAAGCACCAACACAACCCAGCAAACCAGAGGTTTACTTCATCAAGTACAAGACACAAAAGGAACAAGGTGCTGGAATTGGTGGTGGTATTGCTGGAGGTATTGCCGATGGTGGATCAATTGGTGGTTCAGACTTTGGTAGCAGTGGTGCAGGTGGTGATTTTGGTGGTCATGGAGGTTCATCATTCGGTGGTTCAAGCGCATCAGGTAGCTCATTCGGTGGTTCAAGCGCATCAGGTAGCTCATTCGGAGGATCACACTCAAGCGGTGGCTCATCATTCGGTGGATCACACTCAAGCGGAGGCTCATCATTCGGTGGCTCAAGCGGTGGTATCCAAACCTCATACGGACCACCAGGACACAAATAAATTAATCTACAGCCTCAAAAGCGTGTCTAGTCTTCTCTTGTTATAAAAAAAAAATTGATATGAATCACATACTCACTCATACACCACCCACATACTGACAAGGTATGTCCCTCCATACTCGTTCCTCTTTATCATTCTCATATTTCATTTTAATTTATTATTTTGTGAGATTTTAAGTTGTTTTGGTTTATTATAAATTGAATGAAATTGAAAAGAGGAAATGAGACTTGGAAACTCTCGCTTTCATTCTATCCATTCACGTTATTGTTAAAGACGACTCACATATCCATATAGAACAAATTATAATTTCAATTCTATTACCTCTCGAAACATTGAGTGAACCATTTTTCATGTAACTTTTGTAAATAATTTTCACATCTGTTGTCCATTAAGACATCCAATATCATTTGATGACAGAACTTGAAAAATTTTCACTCAAAAGCTTTTTCCTTTCCTTCTTCACAAAACCTTTACTTTTACCAAAAAAAAAAAGATTAAAATGTTTTGTTTTTTCCTTCGAAACAAATCACGATGACGAAAACATAAGCAAAAATGGACTCAATTCTCAAAAAAAAGAACGAATCAATTAAATATGTAGGAAAATTTTTATAAATGAATGAAAGAAGAAACTCTCTCGTTAGGTTAAAAAAAAAGAGTATAGAATGAAAGAAAAAAATTGAAAAACATAAATGTTGTTAGATTATAAACAAATGCCTTAATTTTATTAATTAATTTTAAGTCTGCAAGAATAAAACGGTGACAAATTAAAAAAAAATTACTTTTTCTTTTCATTTATTTACTTTTTATGATTCAGATATTGTGGTGGAAGAAGTTGAGTAACAGCTCATGTTACATACAATTTAACTTTTTAAATTAACAAAGTTTTTGATTAAAAAGTGAAGTTTGAAAATTGTTGCTTCATCATTTTGCTTGTTTTAAGATTTTAAGTGTGTTTAAACTTATAAAGTTATAAAAAAATTAAATATTTTATAAAATTTGAATTTGAAAAAATGTTATGAATTAAATCATTTAAAAGATTTACTTTATTAACATTTAAAAATTTCGAAATTGAATTGTTTCAATTTTGAAAATTTAAAATTGTTTCAATTTTGAAAATTTAAAATTGTTTCAATTTTGAAAATTTAAAATTGTTTCAATTTTGAAAATTTAAAATTGTTTCAATTTTGAAAATTTAGAATTGTTTTGAATTTTGAAAATTTAAAATTGTTTCAATTTTGAAAATTTAAAATTGTTTTGAATTTTGAAAATTTAAAATTGTTTCAATTTTGAAAATTTAAAATTGTTTCAATTTTGAAAATATAAAAATGTTTAAAATTATTGAAATTTTTAAGATTTAAAATTGTTTCAATTTTGAAAATTTAAAATTGTTTCAATTTTGAAAATTTAAAATTGTTTCAATTTTGAAAATTTTGAAAATTTAGAAATTATTGAAATTTTAAAATGCAACATAGTTTTTGAATATAAAAGTTTAAAAATTCAAAATTGAACAATTTAAAATGTTGAAAAATAAAAAAAAGTCAAATATTGATTTTATTGAAATGTTAAAGATTTAAATTCAAAAAGTTCAAAAGATTCAAAAGTTCCAATAAATCACCAACAATCTTATTTTTCCTTGTCAAAATCAAATCACAAATCACACCAACTGAAAGATTTAAATGAGAATGTAAGGCTGCATCGCCCATACTTTAAGAACAGACAAGACAGACAACGAAGAAAAAGTTTTACCTTGAAATGAAGGAAAAGAATACAATGTTGAGCATACAGACAGAAAATAAAGAAGCAAAAGCGGAAAGCATGTTCTGGAGTTTATTAAATTGCTCTTAAACTGAAGTGGAGGTTAGGCATCTTTTAATAAAATCATTGGACACAGTGAACAAGACAAAATTAAGAATTTTATTTAAACTTTTTTAAAAGCAATCTTAATAGTGCGGCATGTCATTGTTAAAAGTTCAAGAAATCTGCCAAGAGTAGGGTTAATGGTCATTTGCTGGAGGAAGGATACTTTCCTAATAAAAATACTCTGAGGACTACCATTAACACATCAAAGAGTAAAGTAAAATGAGGGGGTTCCCACACAACTTCTCTAATCAAATTCAATAATCTACTGTCTGAAGTTATTCACTCCTTGTAGTATTTAAAAAACAACTCATAATAATCCAGCTAATGACCCACATAATGGACTTTCCCAAGCTACACCTAATCCATAACTTCAATAATAACACAATTTTAAAATGCAAAAATGTGTTCCCATTAAACCTCCATTTAGTAGCCAAAACAAAAAAATTGCAAGCAAATTGCCAACAAAATTACATAAAAAAAAATTTACTCAACATCACCAAAATGCCATAAATCACATCAAATCACCTTCAAACAATCTTCACAAAAAAAATTTGTTCAATTTTGCAAGTCGTCAACGGGACTTCAACAAATTCGCAACTCATTAATTAAAATCACACTTCAAAACAAAAATTAAAAGCGCGTCAAAAATTTTGACCTAAAACAGCAACAACATGATGAACCAGATTAAGAAATAATTTGTGATTTAAAGAAACATGATAAGACATGTACATGGAATGTAACCTGATCAACCTTAACATGCAAATTGCAAAATAAACAGTCTGATGGCCTTCAGTACAACAGTCATATGATAATTAAATTGACTCCAACATGCGAAGAATCTCGACCTCTTGATAAGTGAAAGTATTCAGCTAATGATGTGGTGAGGTGCCTTGGAAGAACTGTTTTTTTTTCCTGAGATCAACTGAAGGAGTCAATTACGATTGTTATCGTTACTATCCACTTAGTATGAAAAGTGATGCTGTAATGTGAGATGTGATTATGGCACGCTAGGATGTTGGGACTGTAGTTAATGAAATTGCTCTGAATTATGGACAATTGGAAGTTTGGGAACACTTAAGATGGTTCTATAGTCCCGTTGAGGGTTGCTAGGACAAAGATGTAGGAAGTACATAAGGTTGGTAGCTGTTAAAGTCAATCAACCTCCTCTGATAGCAAGTTAAAACTTATAGTCAACATCAAAGAATTTAAAACTCCTCAAATAGCTTCTGGCTTCTCTCCTACAACCGAGGGAACCCTAATTAGCCAATTTCAAAGGACAACCAGCCTTAATTATGTCTGCAGTTGCATAACAAATTCACTTAAAACATTTTTATGTCATTTTTCATTAAGACAAACGAGTTTTTGACTCTTACTAGCAGAAAGTTCGCAAAGATCATCAAATTTAATGTTCGCGAATTTTTCTTCATTAGACGAGTGGATTTACGAGAGATTTAAGCAAATGTGAAGACAAAGATAAGACACAAATTGTGATTGATGGATGCATTGTAAGTTTTAGTCAATTTTAAAATTTTTTCTTAGAAATTTGTTTGATGTTAAAAAGGTGTGGGTTAGTTTAAGGAGTTGGCATTTGAGGAGATAATATGTGATTCGATATGGACATGCTTTTGGATTGTCTGGATGTTATGCTTGATTGCTATTATACTATTTTTATGGCTAGGTCAGTGACAAAGGACCTTCTGTGAACTATTTCGGTATCATTGATATCGTTGAGACCAGTGGTTCTCAAACTATGTGCCGCGGCACACTTGCTGAAATTGACCATATATTTTTATGTCTTATGACTTTAAAAAGGTCATTAAAATCATTTAGTGTGCCGCGGGATTATTCAGTTGTGCCGCAAAAATTTTTATGTAAAAAATGTACCGGGACCAAAAAAGGTTGAAAAATACTGACTTAGATCCTCTACATCCAATTTTTTTAACTTTCCACATTTCAAATCTATTCTTGGAAAACAAAAGCTCAAAAAATAGACAAATTGCAAACTAATTCATAAGAATATCAGTCTGCAAACTTTACGCAGGTGGAAAAGAAACTTAATAGCAAAAGTTACTGCTTCTTCACGTGCTTCACTCATTTGGAAAGAAAAGTTTTATTGTTCTTGAAAATTTCATTAAGTTCTGAAGAAATAATCAAATTAACGCTTCTCATCTTGTTCACTCCTTCAGCTGTAGACATAACAGGTGTTCTAGATTAAAAATGTTCATCTTTCCAGTGAGAATTGAAGACTTTAACTTTTCTTTAACTTGACTTGACTGTTCAAGATAACAAATACATACAAGCTATCAAGCTATACTCAATGTTCAATGAAATAGAAATGTTTATAAAATACTCTAAAGTTCAGATTCGAATTGCTAAGTTTGATCAAATTAAGCAATCAAAAGCAATATTGCAATCTATTGAGATGCACAAGAAGGTTTTAATTAAGATCTATAAACTCACTGAACCTCCTTCCTCTCTTCTATCATTTCTACTTCCCAAAAAGCTAGGAATAACAAAAATCATCCGAAAAACATTCAGGAAGCATCTCAAACCTCAATTAAAATCAAAATATATTGCCAAAAATAACCTCAAAGCCACATTCTTGCATAGCAAGTCAGAAATAAACAAACATTTGTGTGTTAACATGCAATCTATTTTTTCAATTTTTTACTTCATCATCAACGACAAATTTTTCGTGTATCAACATGCACGTAACAACTAAACGCTTCATCTCTTCTTGTATAAATTATTACAACATGTAATCCAATTAAATCCACGAGACTTCTGGAAATATTTCATCTCTTATAAATCTTTGTATTTTTGTAGATGTTGATTAAGCTCATCGTTAGATAATCGATGAAAATGAAATTCGATGCAGTAATTCAGCTACAAACTTCATGTATCATCATCACGATTGTCGATTTTTAGTCATTATCGTCTTCAATTTTCATCCATCGACGGTGCTTTTTTTTATTGATTTCCATCCTCAAGCGTCGATGTTGATCGCTGCTGTAATTATATTCATCTTCAACACCACATTTATTATTATTTTTTTGAATACATTAGAGGAACATTCAGCAGGTTTTAGATGGAGAAAAAAAAAGCTCATTCATTATTCATTGGTTCCCATCGATTCGTCAATCTCGTGACTTTTTGATATATTTTGAGTGCATTTATTATCACAAATGTCTTTATTATCATGCAGATGACTATAATCATTCATGAATGAGCTTATCATGGGATGTTAAGCATCAATATCATTCATTTAAGATTGTTGAGTATCAACCTTGTCATTTATAATATTGAGTGTCTAGTAATTATGTGATGAAATGATTATGAACATTAATTCTAAATTGAATGAGAGTTTGGACATGCTAGAGATGTTGTGGTTGGTTTAGAAATTGAGGTTGGATGTAGATGTGTGTCTTGAGTTTCATATTTGGAAATAGAAGCTGAATCAACAGTTGGACTATTAAGAAAACTCTCATATTCAGGACTAAGAAGCTTTCAAGTGGATGTCTTTGGTTTTTAGCAGAAGGAATGGTCGTGGAGTATCTAATGTAGTCTGGTTATTAAGACTACTGATCTTAAAGACAGTAAATACCGACAAACACTAGTGCAAAGATTGATACATCAGTTTCTGGTAGGAATCGAACGCATTCCTCACATAAGATTGTGATTCAGATTCTCAAAGCATTGCTTATCTTTTAGACCTCAAACACTTTAATGTCGAACTGACAGAATTGCCTATAAAACCGTTGATACCTTCAAAATCAGCTCTATTACAAGACATCACAATCCCACAAGCTACAGTAATCATCAGACAATTTAATCAGCAAAAAATATTCAAATCCCAACTGTGAAGCATCTAAATCCACGTAAAACAAGTAATGCTCATCCACAAATTA